GCGACGGGGCCCGGGGGCGCACGGCGGGGCCGGCTCCGCCGGGGCGGCGGCCGCGGAGATGCTCCGGAAGGGCCCCGGGATGGCCCCGGTGGTCTCCGGCTCGGAGATGCTCTGCAGCGGTCCTGTCCCGGAATGTTCTGCACCGGTCCGAGGATGCTCCGGAATGCTCTGTAGCACCTCGAGGATGGTCGGTACCGGTCTGAGGATGCTCTGTAGCACCTCGAGGATGATCGGTACCGGTCTGAGGATGCTCCGGGATGCTCTGTACCGTCTCGGGGATGCTCCACACCAACACGGGGATGTTCGGCGCCGGCTCGAGGATGTTCCGGGATGCTCTGTAGCGGCTCGGGGATGCTGCACGCCGTGAGGGCTCCGCCCCGGGGTTGCTCCGCTCCCCGCCGCCCCGGTGATGCCTCCCCGCTTAAGTCGGCAGATGCTTCGGTCGGGAACAGTGTAGGGTGGTTGCGGCGGGTCCAGGTGCGGGTCGGGGGTGCGCGGGGGCGGTGCGGGCAGCCCGGGAGCCGCACGCCCCCCGGTGCCGCTCTTATAGACACGGCCGCCCCGCCCCCGCCGCCCCCGGTAAACACCGCCGCGCCGGGTCTGTCAATGGAGGGCCCCGCCCCCCGCCGCCCATTGGCCGCGAGGCGGGGGGGCAGATCCCGCTCAGCCAATGGGCGCCCGCCGAGAGGGGTTGCTGGAGAGAATGGCAGCGCGGCACGCCCCGGTACCCCCGGTACCGCCCGGCTACCCGGCACGCCCCGGTACCCCGGTACTCCCCCGCTAGACACGGCACGCCCCGCTACCCCCTGGTAACCCGGCACACCGATCCCCCGATACCGCCCCCACTGCAACCCGGCAGCCCCCCGTACCCCGACCGAGCAGCACAGAACCCCCGGTGACACCCGGTACCTTCAGACAAGCATCCCGGTACGCCGGTACCTCTCTGTGCCCTCAGGCACCCACCCGAGGATGCTCCAGCTCCTGCCAGTAGCCCGCTGCTCCCCCGGTCTAGGTACCCCGATGTCCCCGGTGACCCTGACATCCGCACCCTCGGGAGCACCCACACCCCTCGCGGTTCGCCGGGAGCCTGTGCGCGGGTGTGGCCGGCCGGAACACCGAGTATCACCCCGGAATGCTGTGCTTGAACCCTGCTATGCTGGCCCACCGGCCTCCCGGGACACCCACTGCTCCCGGTCGTCCGGGCAGAACCTCGGCCCGGAACAGTCCCCGGGCCGCTCGCTAGGGCTTGCACCGCTCGGCGCCACGCGTTGTGGGAACACCGACGCCTTCGTGAACACGTCCCCGCCGCCCATTCCAGCGGTGTCTCCCCGTGGGTCGGCCCCCGGCGGTGACGGGAGCGCCGGGTGGGGAACGCGCAGCGCACGAGGCGGACACGCGGCTCCCCGGTGCCGCGGGTGGGGCCACGCCCCTCCCGGTCAGGTCCCGCCCCCTCCGCTGGGCGGCACCAATGGGGCAGCGGCGGCGGCGCTGTTGCCCCGGAGACCGCGGGCTGCCCGCCGGGGGCCGCGCCCATTGGCTGTCACTGCCGCGCGCGGGCCCGCCGGGGGCCGCGCCCATTGGCTGCGCCGCCGCCGCCAGTTGCTGTGGTGACAGGGGAGCGCGCGGGGCCGCGCCCGACCCGCCCGGGCACCGCCACTGACCGGGCACCGCCACTGACCCGGCACTGCCACTGACAGGGCACCGTCACTCACCGGGCACCACCCCTCACCGGGCACCGCCACTGACCGGGCACCGTCACTCACCGGGCACCGCCGCTCACCGGGCACTGCCGCTCACCGGGCACTGCCACTGACAGGGCACCGCCGCTCACCGGGCACCGCGAGCTATCCCCGTCCTGCGGTCTGAGCGGGCACTGTGGCCTGTCCCTACCCTGCCGGCTGCCCCGACATTGCGGCCAGCCGGGACACCGGGGCCTGCCCTCCCGCCGGCCCGGCCCGTAGCCCCGGGCTCTGCCCACGCCGTCCCGGAGCCGCGCTGCGCGGGGAGCACCGCGCAGTTCTCCACCGCGGCTTTGCGGACGGCGGACCCGCTCGCTGTAGCCGGAGGTCCTGCCCGGCACGGGTCATCCGCACGGCCCTGGCCCGGGGCACCTGCTCGGCCGCTCCCACACACCTCCGGTCCTCCTGCCACCGCGCCGGCAGGAGCGGCTGGGTGCGCATTGGCACGGAACGCCCGTGCCGTCGAGCACGTCGTGCCGTCTGCGGGGCCGGAGGCGGCTGCCCATCCCCGTTGGTCCCGTGCACCGGGCCCGCCTCTACCCGGGCTTCCCGTTCCTCTGCTCCCTCCCGGCCCCGGCCGCCCTTCAGGCAATCCGGGGCCAGTCCCATCGGGCTGCTCGGGCTGCCGCAGCCGCTTCCAGTCCCGGACAAGCCGACCCCGCCCGGTGGATCCCGTGCCGGTGATCCTGTCCCGGTGCGGTGCCGGGGCGGAGCCGGCAGGGGGCGTCCCTTCCGCCCGTTCCCGTGAGCCCGGCCCCGCCCGGCCCCGGCCCAGCCGCTGTGGCTCCGGTAACGGGGATACGGGGCATCCCCAGAGGCCTCAGCGAAGCGGCGTTCCCGGAGGGCGATGGGGCCCGGGTGTCCCCGGGGGGCAGAGGGTGGTGAGGATCACTGGGATGTAGGGGTGTCCCAGCAGGCACAGCAGCTGCCAAATGGACAAAAGAGCGAGCCCGGTCAGGTTCCCCATAGACCAGCAGCGTTGTCACCCCTGCAACAGCCTACTAAATCCATTCCTCCATACTGTCCCTGGCTCCAGCTGGCTGCTGGAGCACCACTCTGCTTTGCAGAGCCATTCCTGTGTGGAGTGGCACCAGGCACGGTGACAGATTCCTCCGTGCTGCCAGTGCAAGCAGCAGTGCCTGAGGGTGAGGTCAGGCTTGGTGCAAGGGGACATTTCCCAGCTCTAAGGAATCAGCAGTGACTGTATTTCTCCCTGTGCAGAGGATGAAGGCAGTGGTGCAGACCTGCTGTCAGAACCGGCTGGACACAGTGAGGGCAGAAGTCCAGGAAATAGCAAAAACAATGGAAAATAATCTGGGAAGCTAGTTGCTCACATCACTGTGAAATGAGTCTATAGTCATGTTACCTTTGCTTTCCATCCTCGGCTAAAGACACTGTGTTGATCTTATAAATGTCAAACAATTCCATTTCTGAAAATGAATCCCATTTGCTCTGTGGGGATGATCTTCCCACCAGCCTGCCAGGAGGCAGAGAGCCCTGTGACACATGGCAACCTGTGCTCAGGGGGGGTCTGCTCATGGGATCATTCCTTCCTGGTGTATCCCAGCTCCTGCTCCCCGGTGCACACAGGTTTATTTTTCATGAAAATCTCACCCTGTTGGGTAGACATTTACCCCGCAGATCAGCAGTGGTATGGTGTCAAGGGGGGCTGGATCTCCTGCACCAGGGTCTGGGTTTTAGCTAGAAGACAGGTATGGCTGTAGCTATGGAGGCTGAAGCTGAAGGAGGAGAAAAGCCTGGAACATGTCAGGAGAGAGGAGGCGAGTGGCTGCGTGATAGATTAGTGGAACTTCATTTTTTTTCTGTTTAAAAAAAAAGAAAATGATAAAAAGGGGAATTAATTAGCCTCAGCAGCTGGTGGGGCTGGGGTTACTGAGGGTGGATGGGAGAAAAGTTAAAAATAGCAGGAAGGCCCAAGTGGAAAGTTTCTGTAACATCACAAGTCAGGCATTTGGTGCTTACCCGCCCTGACAGGCGGGAGCCTGTGCCAGAGCCCTCTCCACCATCCTCAGCCCTTTCCCACTGACCTCCCTGCAACTTTTCACACGACATCACCAGCCCTTCGTTTTGCTAATTAACCCTTTGCTTCCAGACACTGGACTTGCATCTTGAAGGAGCAAATTCAGCCACAAGTTGCTCATCCTGGGAATGTGAGGGTGCAGAGGAGCACAGTGATTGTGCTGGCCCTCCTTAGGTCCCTGCATGTCGCTGGCAGCGTGTGGAGCCCAGAAGAGCTGTAACCCCCTTGTATCCATTCCCATCTGCATTTCAGCTTCCCCTCCTTAAAAATCCTCCTGTTTCCAGAGGCCCTGGGTGGATTTTGCCAGTAGGTCTGAGCCCTACGCTGGGACACTCTGGATGCACAGTTTGTCCTCAGCTGAGACGGAGATGGATGAGGCAGCTCTGAGCAAGCCCAGCTTGCTGCACTTGTCCCCGCTGCGAGAAAGCAGATGTACCTGGCTGCTCCAACAGGCTTTCTCTGCTTCTGTTTGTCTTTCAGGATTGACAATAAGAGCAGCTGAATTCATTCCTTCTCCCTCTCAGAGGCCCAGGAGCTGTATCTGGCTCTGCTGCTCTGGGAAGGCTGGCAAGAGCTGAACCTGCCATACAGAGAGTGGTCTGAGGGTGGTGGAGCAGGGCTTGGGCTGGAACTGATTTTGGTGGTTGGCAGAGTGGTCAGTGACTGTGGCAGACCATGAGGTGTGAGAAAATACTGTGGGATTGACTGGGGGTCAGGTTTGGCTCTGGTTTACACTGAACAGGAGTTGGGCACTACCCTCACCTTGTTTAAAAGGGTTCCCCTCTTCCCCTAGGTGCTTGCATGGTCCTGGGTCCCAGAACAAGCATCTGGGCTGACCCCACTGAAAGCCAGTGCAGGACCTGGGGACATGGTGAGGGTGGCACAGCTGACACAAGGCAGGCTTTCCTCCAGCCACATTGTGGCCCCTGATGACAGGACTGCCATGCAGGGAACGGGAACCTCTGAGCACAGTCCATCACCCTGCTCCTGCTTCTGCTCCTCCTCATACCCAAACAGCCAAAGCAGTGGCTTATTCCCCTCTGTGCTTTGCCCCTCCTAACTCTCCTCTCGCTCAGGTTATTGCTGGGTACCGAGGTGGTCCTCAGCACTCCCACCAAGGAGGGACACTCCTCTGATGTCAGCCCAGTGCCTGGAGCAGCCAGGCTTGGATGAGGTGCCAAGTTGACTCCATTGCCT